AAGAAGAAGAAGAAGAAGAAGAAGAAGAAGAAGAAGAAGATGAAGAAGAAGAAGAAGAAGAAGAAGAAGAAGATATATAATGAGGAGGATAACCAGAATGACGAGAAAAAGAAATTAAGACAGAAACAGATGGGGGATAAGGAAAAGGGATCCAGGGATGAGGACAAGAGTTTGGGGAAAGAGAAGAGAGACGAGCGAAAGAAGTTAACGTGCAGGCACAAATTATACAATGTCAATATGTCTAGTTTATTATTTAATCACCACCCGAAGACAATCCTGGTGACAGAGATAGGCTATTGATAATTGGCCGAGTGCGAACACAAAGGTGCTCATCACAGTTTCGGTGTACGTAATTACAGCCAAGGGAATAAAAAGAAAACTTGCTCGTGAAATCATTTAAATGTAAACAAAATACCATGTTGATTCTTCACAATTACTCAGTTTCACCCCACCTTCCCGAAAGAATAATAAAAATAGAATATTGAAAAAAACGTTATAAAAAACCGCTATTCTCAAGAAAATTTAGTTTGATCTTACACCCGTGGAATTACGAGGTCTAGTCTGAAAACTAGTTAAGATTGTTTCGTCCTTTGATATAGTATTTTTTAATTTGTCAGCCATGTTACTTATTCATTAATTTACACACACACGGAAAAGACACAAAGACCTGCAACTACAATTGGAATTTAGTAACTTGTTCTGTTGTTCCTTCACGGGTGAAGTGACGATTTAGAATGTCGTGGAAAAAGTAATACAAAACTGATCTTGATTTGGTGCTTTTTCTAAAGTTGAAATTTAACGATTGTGTCCCGTTAATATTTTCTACTTTATATGGTCCTGTGAAGTGTGCAATATCGCGCGCAACCAAAATGGCGACCACGTTCGAAAACGTGCGACTTAGTTTCTTTGAGGATGACGGAAAAGTCAGAGAAGTTGTTGATGTTCCTCATAAATTAGACATTCGAGAAGACTCCAATTCATTGATTGTTTCACTTTACAATGGTAAGTAACCCTTGAAAACTTATGGAAAGATACAAGAGTTCAGAGGCTAGCCTTGATCTCTGTCTGAGCAGTTCTTTCTTTCTCTGCTGGAAGACTAAAAGTCTAAAAAGTGACAGACAAAACCAGCAGAGTAGATCTAAGACAAGAAATCTAGATATCTAGATTCTAGATCTAGAAGGCTAACTAGATCGGATCTAGATTCTAGATACTAAATTATCTAGCTACTCTGCTAGTTTTGTCTGTCACAATTACTATGGCTATGGCCACGGCATAGAATGAGACTTGCATTGACATTGTAATTGTTGTGTTAGTACGACAACATCACACTGACTGACTGACTCACAGGTTCTACTGTGTAGAAAAAAAGGCGGTGGCTATTTTTACGGTCCTGAAAAGGTTCTCAAATGCAAAGATGGTCGTCAGGGAAGGACTTCAGTTACGAGCGACTACCCCAACAAATACTTCATCATTACTCAAATTACTGTCATTATTTATACGACAAAGAAGAGGCCTAACCCTAACCCTACTCCTACCCACATCCCAAACCCAAACCCAAACCCCTACCCCCACCCCAAACCCTAACCCCCTACCTACTCTGTTTCATAGTGGTCGCTCGTTATGGAATGGCCACCTCTATTGTCACTATTCACCTATTGATAGCGCAGGCGAGTCTTTTGGCTATTCTCACCCGGTGGGCGTTCACCGTTATAGCCTAGGCCAACCAGTGAAGCGTTCACCCTGAACCACAGAATTTTACACTGTGATAACAGAATTGTAGAATTCTGTGCCGTGAACAAACTTTCTAGATCTATTACTAATCTACTGTTAGTGTTAGCCTAAAAGCGTGCAATTTTGTCTGTGGGCAGTGAAGAGAGTGAAAGAGAGAGAGAGAGGAGTAGCGCGAGAACTTCCGGACAAAACAAAGTGGTGACCCGCGTAGTTCGGCTCGATTCGGAAAGTTAAATAGCCGTAGCATCTTTGTAGGCGACCAAATTAATTTAGTTTTGTTTTCTAACATCATTTTTTAACTTTGTTTTGGTAAGTCTCACCCAGGGTGAGAGGTAGATCATATTTTTATTCTCACCCCGGGTGAGGATAGCCACTTCCTTATGGAATTCCTCCCGTCGTCAGGGCTATATTTACGGGGGTAAGGGAGGACTTCCGTAACGAGCGACAACTATGAAACAGAGTAGAACAGATGGGATAGGGGTTAGGTTTGGGGTAGGGTAAAGGTCTCTTCTTTATTCATAATATGTTTGTTGGGGTGGTCGCTCGTAACGGAAGTCCTTCCATATTTACTGTAGTACTAGATCTAGATCTAGATCCAGGCTAACCTCTTTGACTGAAGTCTAAAGTTGAAGTCTCTTTCACTTTCAACTTCCGGAATTAATAAAGTAGAATCTGGATCTAATCTAAGCGCCAAAATGATACAAAAAGCTTCTCCTCAATTCGCTGTTGGACAAGAAGGTAAGTTTTTACTTTTCACTCCCGCATACAGATGCACTGCTTCAGGGGTTAAACTACAGTACTGTTTGCTGCGGATCGCACATAAAGCCACTAAAACTGTCGCCAATCAATTATTTTCGAGAAAATTTCAAATCTAACTGTAAAATATCAAATTATGGGTTAAAACAGGGGGGGCATGCCCCCTTGGAACCCCCTATTTGGTCCAAATCACGTCTATCTCGATTAAGATTATTAAGAACGATCAGATATTTGAAAAACTTTTAATTTGCGACGGAAATGAAGTTTGTATTCGTGTTCAGCGCATCAATATTTAGTAGGCTAGAAAATGGACAACTGGTAGCTAAGTGTGAGACGGGAGGGAAAGTTTAAAAAAATACCCGGAAATGAAGTTGATATTCGTATTTAGCGCATCAATATTTAGACAGTAGAAAATGGACTGTTGGTAGGTAAGTGTGAGGCAGGAGGGAAAGTAAAATGTGTTGATATGTGTTCATTGTTCCGTGTTTCGTACCATTTCCGATGAATGTTTTTGTATCCACTGAGTTCAGCACGAGATGAAAGGACTGTTGAGTCATTCCCTCCTCAGCCAGCAAACGTGCAAGTCGAGTCTGTTCTTCTCTGTCTACATATTGAACCTTACCTAACGGCATACAAACTTACAAACGATGACCCCCTCCTGGCCTCAACGATTTTGAACATCATGGCATTATTCCCTGCCCGTTTGCTTTTATGGTAATGTCAGTTCTAGTTTTGTTTACCCCTGTCTCACCAGGAGTGGGGGATAATAGCTCTGGTGAATTGTTTTCAGTGCAATAGTAACGGGGCTATTGTGTTTATGATGTATCATGTGATGTAGTGTGTTATTTTTATTGTATTATTATTTTGTTGTGTGTGCCTTTCAGGTTCAGCCAAGTCTCAGACAGTATCAATCACCAAAGACACAGAGGTGGCTCAGGTTGGAGCAAGCTCGTTGGTTATCACAAATGAAGCGAAGTCAGTGCTGCTCTCTTTCCCCACAGTTCATAGTAAGTTGTAGTTATGAAAAATTACCCAATGTGAGTGTATGTATTGACTCAGGTTTAATCTTTCTTTTCAAGATTGCTCTGGCATTGACCAGATGACAAGGACATGTGGTTTCTTGGGGGAGGCATTGTGCTGCCAGGAGCGAAATGCTTGCAGCTAAAGGGATTTGATAACAACATCTTTCTTTTCATGTTGATGTATAGAAATTAAAGGTCAATTTTAAGTTTGGAGTTGTCGTTTATTTTTCAATGAAAGCGTGACTTTGTTGAAATTCCTGCGAGGCTTCATGCTGAACAATTATTCTTTCAAAAGAAAATCTCAAATCTATTGTTTTATATCCATAATTTATTAGTTGTCTTTCTTCAGAGATGGAAGACAAAATCAACAAACCTATAAATCATTATGCTTAAAGCAGTCAGTTTGTATTTCTTTGAGCTTTGAGAGCATTTTAAATTGAAATTTAGAGAGAAAACTGAATGCTTGTCCTATGTGAAGATGACCCTGTACTTTTTTGCGGAGTAAAATACCACTTTTTTTTGGGGGGGGGGGGTCTTTAGGTTATTGTATTGTAGAGTTTTAAATGATTTATAGATGAAAATTGTGGAAGTGAATGAGTTACAAAAGACGAACTAGATTCTGAAAAACTAAGGCATGATCCAACACTTTTTTTCCCTTTTTTTTTTTTTTAGTGATGCGTGCCTTCAAGGGCCAGGTAACAAAGTTAAAAGAAGGGATGGCATCAGTCTTCACAGATAGAACAGATGAAGCAAGTGCTGTCCAGTACTTTCAGGTACGAGTGTCTTTTTGTTTCTTCCAAGAGGATTAGAGGAGTTTGTGCTCAATACACCCACTGCTAACCATAAAGAAATATCACCCCCTCTAATGGCAACATAGACTCACTGGAATCTGATGTACGTTCATCTGATATTTTAAGTGGGTGGTTGGCAGGTGCTCTGGTGTGGTTTGCTCCTTCTTTCCTATCAAACATCTGTCGTCCTTATCTCCCCTCCTTTTTTATGTTTGTTACTCTCTTGTAACACCTTTAATTTTCTGGTGCTCATATGGTCTTATATGCAGTTACAGCGCTGTAAAACCTGTACTGAAACAAAAATGATATTTTTACTTTACTACTTTTCTTTTTATTCTCCCTTAACACTTGCTGCTGAGCCAAGTGCTCCTTCTTAACCTTTCAAGTGTCAGGGCTAAAATAGTGCGGTGTCAGATAATTTTGAGTGTTTCACTATTGGCAAGATCTTGATTATAAAACGATTACTCTTGATAAGAAATCTACTTTCAAAGAGTTATAATCGCTCATATGACCTTATGCAGCTGTGAGCGCCGTAAAACCTCTACTTAACTAAAAGAGTTATAAAAAGAAAATGGGATGACAATTTTAAAAGTTCAGACACAAATCAGCACAGCACTTCAAGCAATCTAAGAAAGGAAGAAACCCGCATTGCATTCATTGAGTCACTTATCATTATTTCTTTGAAAAATAAGTGAAATAAAATTCTCTTGTAAAGTACACTCTCTTCAAATGTTTTAGATGCTTTACTGGCCATGAATGTAGGATGTAATAAGTACAAGAGCATTAATTTGTTTTGTGCTTCATAATGCAAAAAGTACAAAGTGTTTGTTTTATATTTCCACAGTTTTATGGATACTTGTCACAGCAACAGAACATGATGCAGGATTACATTCGAACTTCAACTTATCAGAGGGCCATGCTGACAAATCTCTCAGATTTTCACGATAAGGTGCGTGTAGTAGTCAGTAAAAATGTGTGATTGTTGTGTTTTGGTCCATCTCTGTTAATTGATTTGTATAGCTTTCTTCTCTTTGGTGATAAATTTTTGTTCTTTGAAATAAGATTTGGGGGAGTGGGGGGTGTTAATTAATTGTGGTTTACAATATTAACTCTTCAATTTATCTTATGGATTATACCTGTTCAAGCAATGGTCAAATTAAGATAATTTTTTTTGACTATTGTATTATGTAGAATTAGGCACTGTTGGAGGCCTTGTGTTTTCAGGGTTAAAGTGATTTTGTGGATACGGTTTTTTTTTTACACTGGGTCTTGTAAAAGAACCTCAAGAAAAGCCTGTACATTCAAGAGTATGTACTGGAAGTTTTGCCATGAAACAGATAATAGGGCAAACTAATAATATGTGGACGTTGAAGTTTGTACACATAAATTAACCTATATTTTTGGTGTCGGAAACACTTTCGTATCGGTATACTCAACTATACTGAAAACTATAAGGAGCTTGATATTGAACGTCGAGATGGTAAGAGATCTATCTTTCCTTTATGGTGTTCTCAGATTTGTTTTGTGTCAAGTAGTTGTTTAGAATTTATCATAAATGCACCACTACCCTCCTGTCCAAAGCGACTTCGCGCGGACAGTTGTTCTTCTCTCTGTTCCTCTGTAATATCACTATGGGGCCAGTATAGATGCAGCCTCCCCTGATCTGGGAGTAAGTTTCCTGTAGAGAAGTGGAAGTTTTAGTGTTAAAGCTGGGCAGTCATTTGTATGCTTCATAAGCACCAAATACACAAACTTGTATAAAATGGGGGAAAAAGTTGGTCAAACAAACCTGTTTATGATCCTAAATGTGTTACCCAATGCGAAGTCCACAGTAGGAAGTAGAGGGTCACTTGTCATTTCAGTGGGAAACCAGCAGACACCGAATGTGTATGCACGTAGAACACCAAAAGCATGAAACGGTATTCAAAAAAATGAAATCGTAACCAAGATATGATGGTTGATGGCTCTGAGAACAAGCCAATGCAAAGTCAAGGGAAGGATGAAATTGGATCTGTAATTTTTTATTACAGACATGCATTCGAATAAAATGTTAAATTACTGAGAGTATTACCCAGGTCAAAGCCATGGTTAAAACAAAAAGGCTTAGATTAAGTTTTAATTCTACAGTGTGTATGCTCTTGTACAGAGAAGTGGGAAGACATGGAGTAATATCAAAAGGCTAGCCCAGGATAGAGAAAGGTGGAAAGTGTTTGCTCTGGATATATAATAACATTGTATATATATAATGCTACATAACAACATACAACATTGTATGAAATTTATGGTATTTATCCAGACAAGTATTTGTCTATAGGCAGAACAAGCACTTTCAATGCATTTCAGGAACAAGCTGGCAGGCAAAAAAAGTATACATGTATTTGTTTAAACAGCAGAATGCAAAATGAAAATTAAATGGTGACAAAGAATTCTTTTTTTTTTTAATTGCGAAATTACATTTTGGTCCTGTTACCAAATTATCTATCCAGGTAAAAGAATAATAATTATGGTGGGTCAAAGCCAGAAAGCCAGTTTGGATAAAATTTTAATAGTATGTTAGCAGACACCTGGAGTCTGTACATTATATAAACAAGTAGTTGTAAAAAACATAATATCTTCCGTCACCAAAATGTACCCTTGGATTGTGATTGGTCACGTACGAAAAATTTCGAAGTCTGTTATTTGTCATCTTACTTTCCTCCTAGGTTGTAGAAATTGTCTACCTTGATATTATGTTGTTTTTTTTAACATGCTTTGAAAATGTCCTCCTCCAGATTGTCCTAGATGTTGGTGCAGGCTCAGGGATTCTCTCTTTCTTTGCAATTCAAGCAGGTGCGAAAAAAGTATACGCCATAGAAGCCAGCAGTATGGCACAGCATTGTGAGGTGAGTTGTTGATTACAGAAAGTTCATTAATGATAATGTTTGACCTGTGATGTCTCAGGGCTCCTCCTTCGTTGTGGTCAGTTCTCTTGTTTTCTGTTCATACTGCTAATAATAAAAAAAATGTTCTGTGTAAGTGGGAATGCAGTGTCTAGATTTATCACCCACTAGTCCACACCAACCCTGTTTTACACACACACATGACACACACACACACAGGGCCGCGGTTCTACTGACTGAAGTGTCTTCAGGCAATTCTCAAAGGGGGGACATTAATATGTTCTTATGCACAGTAGAATTGTAAATTGTCAATGGGCTGATTTAACAGTGTCATGCTCATAACTGTGCCTGAATTGCAACAGGGAACTGCTGCTTTTTCTTTCCTAATCTTTACTATCGTCATATTCCCTCTACTTCTTTTGTATGTTTGTCACACTCTTGTGACCCACTATTTCCGAGGTGCCTTGACAGTTGAAACAGACTTTGTGCTGTTGAAGCTAGAGGGGTGAGCAGAGTAAGCCTGATTCCCTGTAAGGACTTCTCTGTTGACGTTCACCCCTTGGTGCTCATATGACCATATGCAGTTGTGAGCACCGTAAAACTCTACAAAAGCTTCCAACCGTTTCTACTTCATAACAGATGAATTTGCATGATTTTTTACAGCATGGCATTACGGTTACGGTGTTATTGTTCCAGCCATTGCTTGTGCAAAGTAAAGCAGCTCAGAAAAGTTAATGCCCATAATCAAATGATTTTCCTAGAACAATTACATTTTTTTTTATAACGGATCCATGGGATTGCAAATTATAAAGACAAAATTCTCTTACACTGTATAAGTAGGCCCTTATGCGGACAGGGTTCTTGTGTGGCGTGTTCTGGGGTGTATATTTAAAAATCTATCTTAAAGTTATTTTACCATGTTCAATAACGACAACTGTTTGTCTTCAAGTCTTAGAAATAATTCTGTATGTCTCATTTGTCCATCAGTGGTGAACAGGTGCTCTGGTGTTATTTTCTCCTTTCTCAGCCAACATCTATCATTCTTATCTCTCCTCCTTCTTTTCTTTCTGTGTTGTTACTCTCTAGTAACACCTAATCTTCGGCTTATATGCTTATATGACACGACCTCTTATGTTTGTAGCAAGTGCTGTAAAACTCTTACTAAAACTACCCCCCCCCCCCCCAATTTTTCCAGACTCTGGTGAGACAGAACAACCTGAGTGACAGGATTATAGTCATTCCTGGGAAAGTGGAGGAAGTGGAGGTCCCGGAACAGGTGGACACCATCATCTCAGAACCCATGGGCTACATGCTCTTCAACGAGAGGATGCTGGAGTCCTACTTGCATGCAAAGAAATGGCTCAAGCAGGATGGTGAGTATTTATGAGGGTTACCGCAAGCTTTGGAAATGGAAGTTCATGTTTCAGTTACTTAAGATATCACTTTTCTGGAAGTTCTTTACAGTGTGAATTTGTTCCAGACTTCATGTATTTTGAAAAGTTCAAATTTTCCGTCCCTTTCCCTTATGTATTTTTGAATATTTCTTCTAGCTTTTCGGTAAGTTCCAGTTACGATTTTTGTACTTTAACACTTTGCGGTCACACAGTCCGCTGTACAAAATACCCCATCTGTTCTCCCAGCCAGGAGAATGACTGCAACGGACTTCTCGGGCCTGGTGACTGGAACAGATAATTTTCACCCCCACATTATTGCGCCAAGTGACCGCAAAGTGTTAAGATGTCCTTCAAGAATATTGTTTGAAGTTTTCTGGAGTTATACTTTACACTGATTTTTTTTTCATTGTGTTTCATGACTATTGTTTGCTCTGTCTTTTCAGGTCGCATGTTCCCCACTCAAGGAGATTTGCACATAGTACCATTCACAGATGAAGCGCTTTATATGGAGCAGTATCAGAAAGCAAACTTCTGGTAGGTTAACTGTCAGGCTGTTTTGTTTTTCATTTTAGCATTTCACTCTTTTTCAATTCATATCGGACAATTACCGGCTGAAAGGCTGAAACATACTGTTTCCAGTCCAGTGTCCTCGCAGTGGTCCTCTGTGCTGGGCCTCTGCTTCGGACAACGCCTCTGCCTTTCACAACTTCTTACTCTACCTGTCGAGGGGATAGGAACACTTTCCACCGCTGAAATCTCTTCACTCCCTGTGAATGAAAAATGACAGAGCTTCTGTGAGAATGTTGTTTGAATTGTTTCCTTAAATCCAAGTGCATTTGTTTATGTACACAAACACAACACATAAGGAGTTTGGAATATAGGTTTGCAAATAAATTGAGTGTACCACTAATTCTGATAAACATGAAACACACTTCTATTCACATTACAAATAACTGCAGTAAACAGTCTTAGAAATATGTGTAGTTGTATACAGCATGAATCTGGTCATCCTGTTGCATCTTTTGGCCTCCTTCAAATCTATAAATAGTACTTAGGAAATAGGGACTATCTGGGCTAGACAGACCAAGAGTCTTGGGTCTTTCAATTATAGGGGCCTATAGTAAAAACATTGTACTCATCCTACACATATTGCAAAGATAAATATAATTTAGGTCTACATCAAGTAAACAGATCACGCCTGAGTACTATGACTCAGAGTCTGGGGAGAGATCTTGACAAGATCGAGAATGGTGAAAAATTTACCTGTCTGGCTCATCATCCTCTTCTGCTTCGTTCAGGTCCAAACCACCAGCATCACTATCATCTGACTGGTAGTCTTCATTATCACTTGCAGCATCAAAATTATCGTGTCCACTATCATCATCAGCTAAATTTTCGTCAATAGCTTGATACGTTGTGGGCATACGTTGCGAACGATCAGCCAAGAGTGAAACGCTAGAACTGTGAAGAAGGACTGACGCTATAATTCCCGCTATTTCGATTAATGTTTGTCTAATTAGGGCAAGCAAAAGCTACTCTAACTTGGGAAGAAAAGAGCTTTCAGGGGAGCCTACTCTTGACACCAAATTACAGTTAATGGCTGAGTAGGAAACAAAACAAAATAGTGATATTGCCAGACGTACACTCTACAGCGCATAGGAGGGCTCAATTTATGGACGTACACTGTACGCCGAGCAGCTGTGAAGCGGTTAATGTCTTGTAGTTGTGGCTGACTTGACTAAATAGTTTCAACAGTGGCGATGAAGGCAACATTGGCCAGGTTTGTGTATGAAAGTATGGTATCATAATAGTCTACACTTGTGGTTTTTTAATGTATTGTTTTAACAATTCTTTTCTCTGTGATACAGGTATCAAGAATCTTTCCATGGGGTCAACCTTACGTCATTACGTTCGGCAGCAGTTTCAGAGTACTTTAAACAGCCCATTGTGGTAAGTAGTTGAGCTTTATGTTGCAACCTTGCCGGTCGTTTGTTGTTGGTTCGTCAATAATCGTTCTGTTCTGTTCAAAGGACTCTAACAGTTTTACTCTCAACACTTGAAGTCTTTTAAATTGAATTTTGTAACTCAAGGTACAATGATTTTTGAGTGATGTTTGTGGTTTCTTTTGGAAGCCCCATATCAGAGCCAACACAACAATGTTAGATTTACAGCAAGACCAGGAGACTGTTGAAAACCAATAACACCCGCTACAAACTGGGAATATAGTAGATATCGTCTGTGACCCGAGAACATTAAAAATTGCACTTACACTGCTGTTGACAACTGTTGTATTTTTTAATGTATTCAGTGTTGTTTGGGACCATCTGTGTTGGAACAAAGATTGTTCACGTGTCATTGTCAGAAAACATCTTGACTCACCATTTCATTATTTATATGGGCTGTGGATGAGAATCAAAACTGATCAATTGATCTGGACCTTTCTTGTCGCATCTCCATTTTTTTAAACAGTGAAAACAGTTTATAACAAAGAGTGAGCTTAAGAAAAGGTCAAATTTTCAATGTTATAAAAAAATGGAGATACGGCAAGAAAGCACTGAGGTCGCAGTCTACTCAGAGCCTTGAACTGCAACTGATGAAATGATTAAAACATAAAGATTGTGGACCATTTCTCTCCGTTTCCACTTCTCCCTCCCCAAACCTGTGCCAGTGTGAGCCCCAATTTTTGAATGGTATAATGTATAATAACAATGCATGTAGATCTGTATGGATGAAAAAACGTAAATGATGTAATCCAGAGACGATCAACCCTGAAAATATGTGTGATTTGATGAGTGAAGTTTACGTCAGGCTCCAATTTTGAAGGAAAGCCCTGAAAGACCAAAAACCCGTTGAGAGTCGGTGTTTGATCTCGAATCTTTGACAGCTGGGGAATCAGTTTTAAACTTAAGGTTATTTTGGCACAGAAGATTGTGCTCAACTGGTGTCCTTAGAGTTTGATTATATAGACTTTTTGTTTCATTGTTTTATAGTTTATGTGTTTGTACAAGTTGTTAATTTGGGCAATACTGCATGTAAATTTTGAGTTCTGTTCTTTTGAGGAGAATATAACGTGATATGATTATACTCACGTTCTATTTTAGAGGTGTTAGCTTTCTATTTTTTTTTAAAAAGAAAGAAATTGTTCGCTCAAACTTGTATGATGATTTTTTACTGTCTTTATCCTGGGTAGTGCTTGTGCTGTCAAAACATCTTTTAGCAACGACTTATTATCATCAAATATTGCTAGGTTACGGTGAAACCACAATTTTTAATTGCCCCTATTATGATGGTAGTATTTTTATTCTTTTGTGTTGTCGACAATGTCCCCAGGACACATTTGATATACGCATTTGCTTGGCCAAGTCCAACAAATACGTGATAGACTTCCAGTCAGCCGACGAGACTGACCTTCACGTCATGGACATCCCTCTCACCTTCACAATGCTGCAGTCAGGCATGGTGCATGGCCTGGCTTTCTGGTTTGACTGCGGCTTTTTGGGTTCTGAGTAAGTAATTCATGGATTGAGATTCTAGGTCCGAGACCGTTTTTTGCTGTTGTTGTTGTTTTGTTAAGTGCCATAAGGTGCTTGCAACTGCATACGGTCACATGAGCACATGGGACACATATAACATTTTCAGTATGTAGGAAATTTTGAATTTTGCCCAGGTGGCGGCCGAAGCCTACTCTTATTGATTTTGGACCACCAAGGGATCTTTAACACGCGCAACTTGCACAGTGGACCAAGACTTTTCAACTTTATCTGAGAAGGCTAGGTGTAGATCTTTCCTACCATAAGATCAGGGGTGTGGCTGAAAGACAGCAGTTAAAAGGAGCCAAGGAGTAGCAGTAGAAAGGCTGCAGAAAGAGTCAGGTGCCCAGAGGAGGGGGCAAAGGAGATGAGGTGGGGTGGGGGCAGAAAGTGGAGACGAAAGCAGACGACAGAACATTGCTGGAGAGAAGGAAAAGAGATGAAAGGAGACAATTTTAGAGAAGAAAAATTTCCCTCGCTATGCGAATTCGAACCTGGGACCATGAAAACCCTTGTGGTTCAAGGTTGCTTTTTGTAACTTGATAGAAACAGTATCACATCATCTCTTTACATGCCCTGCACTTACCGACCTGAGTAGTACCTACCTACCTACCTGCCTCCCCAGATATCGGAAATACTCTATACAGCGACGAAACACAGCTGATAAAAATCTGTAAATTCTTTGCCATATCGACAGGCGGAAGGGATGGAACTCAAGTGGCTGTTGGGTCGGAAAAGTATAGTAAAGTAAAAAAGGAACTCAATAGAGTACTGTAATGGTAATAGGCATTTTCACAACAAAAAAAAGAAATTCATTTTACCTGTATGTCATCTGAGACGATTGTGGCACTTCCATTAAAGGAGTTTACAAGCAGTTGAAAAATAGATTGTTGCAAGGAATGTTTTTTTATAAAGGCATTGATGATCATTATTTTATCCTTGGTACAAATTTTTCTGCTCCTTTCCAGTTATTCCATATGGTTGAGTACAGCCCCAACGGAGCCTCTTACGCATTGGTACCAGGTACGATGCCTGGTGCAGACACCTGTCTTGGTCAAGCAGGGACAGACACTCACTGGCAGAGTAAAACTCACAAGTAATTCAAGGTGAGCGCATAGTTTTTCAGTTTCTGCGAAAAATAGATCTAATGCATATTGTTTGTAGAAAATATTCTTTTTTGTGTGTAATATTACATTCTTGGCATTTGAAGACTTTCTGATTTTCTTCCATTTACTAATGAGATTGTTGAAGCCATAAAGGATTTTGCTTGTTGATAATTTTGTTTTTAGCTACTGGTATGATTTAAGAAAATGTATACCGCAGAACAGTTCAGGCCCAGAAGTCTTGTGTGGAGAGCTTTGAATGCTCTCTTTCGTTTGAGATATTTTGACGATGAAGAAAAACTAATAGTGTCAGTATACTTGTTTTGCAGGCAAAGCTACGATGTTGACATTGAGCTTAACATCCCTGGCACGGGTAACAAATCGCTCAACTGTCTGGACCTGAAAAACCCGTTCTTCCGCTACACGGGTACGGCCCCTGCTGCACCGCCCGGTTCCAACCAGTCCTCTGCCACAGACACCTACTGGAACAATCTTTTAGCCTCGGGAGACAGTAAGTCTTCTTACTGGACCTACCCCAGTTCAGAGTTCTACTCTTGATGCATTCCCCTTCCCCACCTCCCCTCTTCTGGGACCAGTGGTGGGGGGGGTGGAGTAGTAGTCTCCTAAATGTACAGTTTTGTCTGGAGTTGTTCAGAGATTTTCTGTCCTTCTATTTTGTCTTGTTTGCCTCATGTCATATCACTTTTTGTTTGTCTCATTTCTTTGGAAGTTGGTGAAATGAAAGGCTGCTCTGTGCTTTTCATATTTTGGTGTTATCCGGGTTTTTTTATAACTCTTACATTTCTCAGGAAAAAAATTTCTTTCATTCTGTGCCATTTACTTTATTCATTGTCATCTCAATGTTTTCAGTTCAGTCGAGGTACTGTTCTTTTGATAGAATCGGGATTATAATTGTGCTGCTCTGCATTCACATCTTTCTTTTCACGACCCAGTGACTAAGTTTTTTCCCCCTGGAATTGTGGTTTTAAAAAGCAAGTCCTGAAGCTGCCTTTCTCTTTGCCAACTTCAAGTTAATGTACATTTTCATTTCTTCTCTCTCTGTTCCTTTCAGTAAAAGTGTCTGGTCAGTGTATAACGTATAGCCTATGTTACTTGTCTCCGTTAAATGTATATTTTGTTGAGGTGTTTCACTGGCATTCAGGGTTCGTTTGTCGTATGGGCTGTAGTTAAAGAGAGAGGTTATAGTAGTTGTAAATCTGTCAGCTCTCAAGGCTTTTCCTCATGTCTTGTGTTGGGAATGGTTTTATTATTTAAAAAAAAAATAATTTGTACGCTATTTTCAAGGCGCTATAAAATAAATTACTTCAAATGTGTTTAGTCCTGACACAGTATAGACTAAAGGTTTTATCCGACTTTTATATTCAGATTTGCCTCCAATTTTTGCGATGTCATTGCAAGGAAATTCCGTACTTTGAAAGTTACATTCCAAATATACTGAGATGCAGTTATTGTACCAGGTGTCTAAAAAAAAAAAAGAGGTCCCACTTAAACGATTATAACTCGATTGTCTTTGAATCAATTTTAGTTAAACTTCTCGGAAATATAATTCTACTGGGGGATGTTACATTCATTTGTCAATATATGAAAAAAATCCGTCCATGTTTTAGAAAAACATCAGATTTGTAAAAATGTCAACTAAAACTGAATGAAATGCAAAACTTTGTAACATAAAAAACAACAACCAAGTTCTGTTTCAAACAGTCACTGTGCATTGAAGAACAAAATAAATATAAAATTGATATTGCTAAATATACTCAAGGAAGGCAAGTTTAGGTATCTATCTGAGGTGACTGTTGTAGTAGGCTGATTACGCCCCTGCACTAAGAAATTTTACCCACTTTTGGTCGAAATTGTTTCAACTTGATATTTCTCGAACATATTAATTGATTTTCTTCATATTTACAAGTTTGATGTCCTCATGGTCGAATTTTATTTGCTTGAATTTTTGTTGAAATTAGCGTAGAGATGACCGAGTTATTACCCTTCAAGTTGGTCCTTTCTTTTCTTTTTTTTTAGACACCCTGTACTTTAGATGAATTAAGAAGACCTATTTAGGTAAGAATTCCAATATGGAGTCTTTAATAAATATGGATAAAAGTACCAGTGTCCTAATTCAGTGGCAAAAAGAAACATCTTTTCAGACAGCCATCCTTTTGGCATTGCAACCTATAAGTCACATGCAACTAATTACTTTGTAGTTTTTTTTTGTTGTAGTTTTTAACACCAACCATAATCAACCATAATTGCAGATAGTTAGACGCTTGCAACTTGCTGCTGACTGGATTTTTTTAGACTAATAAATTATTTTTTTGTTTTAAGATCTCATTTGACTAACTTTATCAGTATGACTTTTGGTTGGGCGAGATCTTCTGGTTTTTGCCAGGATTTTTGGTTTCACTGCTGGGCTACTAGAAAGAAAGTGACTGTAGTTTGAATCCCATATTTTTCTCTGATTTCTTGTACGTCTTCTCTAAAAATCAGCTTAAATATATAGATATTATTGATCTCTTCTGTGATGGCAACCCATCTATGGTTATAACAATGAAAAAAGGGGTTAAATGAATGAAAAACTAAGGCCTTGTCAGATGAGGAATCGGACAGTAAAGAGATTTTAGATTTAGAACTTGTTGTTGGGCCTGGTGGCGAAGTGCATAAAATACCACTCAAACAAAAATCACTCAAGTTCAGGTGGCGAAGCAGATAGGACTAGAAATGTTCATCAGTCCATTCTTGGCCAACAGAAAATAAGGACATGCATAAAAACATTGGCTGCAATTTGAATTAAATTCTTATTTACAATCTCTCATTTGCTGTATATTTGATCTTTTTTATAACGTCTGGTTGCTTATCTAGAGAGTGAAAGAAGTGTTGATTGCTATTAGTGTGTTAGGGTTATTTTCAGAACACGGCCTTATATAGGAATAAGTCGAGTTAAGCTTTGTAAAATTTGCCCATGGCGCCCTCTATAATTTTTCACTCCCAAAACAAAATGCTGTTGATGGCTACGAGCCATGCATTAAAACCATTTTCAAAAGGGCATGGCCAATGAGATATTGGGGTTAGTGGAGCTGGAAGATCATCAGGGATCAAGGGAATATGAAGTGAAAACACGCCATCAGCCAATTGTTTCAAAATAAGCCACATATGAGCTCTTTCGTTTCTTGATATGAGATGCACTCCAGAAAAATAGATACTCCCAAAAAGTGGCCATGATAACTAGTCCTAAAAAGGGAGACCCTCAGTTCTGTCATCTTTGTCTAGGGGTCTTTTTTAGAATGACTGAAGAAATTACTTCCATGATTCTTTAAGTAAAAAAGTGCTTCATGACTGCTTTTACTTGCTTGGAACATTCATATCAGTAATACTATTGCTGCACAAACATGTGGAATGTGAAGGAAACAAGAGAGTTTCACTGTAGCTTATATGGACAGTGCAGTGCAGTTGTGGCAGTGCAATGTTGGTGAATGACGTTCATCAACAAAGCAATAAAGATGTAATGTTCCTCAACTTTTAAAAGTGCATCCCTCTTTGGTGCATACAGACTGGTTTCAAGGGGAGAAAACCTTTTCGAACCTTTTTCATTCTTTTATTCAATTATTGTGAATTTCTGTAAATCAGTCTAAACCTCGAAGCAGTACAAACCTTCGAGTAAGATGAAAATTTGGTAGCATGTGAAATTGGTTCCTTGTCAATGCTGGCAGGAACTTAACAGCATATGCCTGAAAGACCATTTTACTGTTTGAACCCTGAGTATACTAGTGCCCCTGGGTTCCTGAGTCTAGCACAGAATTTTGTTAATGCTATGAACAAAAATGCTTATAACTCAAAAGTGCATGCTGATAAGAGTTAATGGTTTTAATTTTATTATTCCTGAAGATCTGAGTTGGAAAAAAGTAGGGCTCAATTTTGAATTCCCTTTATAGTATACATTTTCCTTATTTGTGCAAATTTTTAAAAACTGTTTTGTAATTGGTGAAGAAAGGGGGGGGGGGGGGTCTCGTGGCCTAGAGGTTAAGGTGTTCGCCTCTCAAGACTTCAAATGAATAAATTGCTTACATGTGTATGTGTGTGTGTTTTCTTTCAGTTCGTCAAAATATCTCTGTTATGTTACTGTTCTTACTACTAACTAATCTTCACTGTAAATATTATATCTGATCTTGCAGCATTTGCTCTTTCCTGGTAGAGTTTTAGATTTGCAGTTTTGTGGACCAATTCATGTCACATGTTACTGTCATATCACTCATGTTGTTGGAGCCTTCAAGTGTTCAAGTTCATGCTTTGATGTTGCAATTTCTTCTGCTTGCATTTAACTGCTTCTTCAAACTCATTACTCTTTTGGGAGGAGTAGATTTCATAAAGTTCCTTGTTTCTCTAGATGTTTTTTTCTTCTGATGGTTTTGTAACTTTTTTTTGCTGTTCGTGTGGAAGTGATGAAAAGATGGGGGAGCCCGGTAGCGTAGTGTGCAGAATTGAGTAGAGTCGGTAATTCAGTTTCCCTCCCTGTCCTGTCACAAACAGCAGCACAGCAACAGCAGACGTATGTCAATGGGTTTGTCAATGGCATTGTGGACGTGGGCCAGGTGCTGGTGCAGCAGCAACAACAGCAGCAGCAGCAGCAGCAACCCGCTGCTGTGGTGCAGCAGCAGGGAGTGGTGCAGGGGAACCTAATCGCCATGTGTGAGTAGCAGCTCGCTGGCCTTCTGTGGTTCTGTGTTTGTTCATTTTGTGTAATGTGCTGCTGTCATTTTTGCAGACGTGTGTGTGGTGGGTGGGTGCTTTGGTGTGGTTTGCTCTTTCTTTCCTATCAAACATCTATCGACCTTATCTCTTCTTCTTTTCTTTGTATGTTACTCTCTAGTAACGCCTCTAATCTTCAGCACTTTTTGTTTGTTTTAGTAGAGGTTTTATGGTGCTCACAACTGCATAAGGTCATATGAGCATTAAGGGGTGGATGTCAACAGAGAAGTCCTTACACTTTACAGGGAATCAGCCTTATTCTGCTTACCTCTCTAGCTTTAACGTCATGAAGTCTGCTTCGACTATCCAGGTACCCCGGAAATAGCAGGTCACAAGAGTGTGACTTTACTTTTATCCACGGCTTATACCCTTTAGGGTATAGAAGTAGAGGGAAAATGAAGATATTAAAGATTAGGAAAGAAAAAGCAGCAGTTTCCTGTTGCAGTTCAGGAAGAGTTATGAGCATGACATTGATGAATGAGCCCATTTACAATTCTACTGTGCATAAGACATAGTTAATGTCTCTCTTCCTCATACACCCTCTTACACTCTTACACTAAGTAGTCGATTTAGTGGATGGTTGGTGGGTGTTCTGGTGTGGTTTGCTCCTTCTTTCCTATCAAACAACTATCGTCTTTATCTCTCCTTTTTTATGTTTGTTACTCCCTTATAACACCTCTAATCTTCGGCACTTATATATGACCTTACGCTGTTGCGAGCGCTGTAAAACCTCTACTAAAACTAAACTGAAAATCTCTCACTACAACTAAAAAAGCAGTCGATTTGTTTACAATTTGCTTTTAAAAATGGAGTTTAAAATATTTTGATTACTTTTTTTTTCTCCTCGTCAGTCATCAAAATGGCCTCACGTTTGGCATAAATAGATTGTTTCTGTGGGATGGAAAATATGTAAGAACATTGTTAGTTTTGGATATTAAGTATGGCCTTTATTGGAGCTTTTCATGTTGCATTTAGGACTTTGTAAATGGTGTTGAAAATTAGCAAGTCACTCTATTATTATAATCAGTAGTAAAATGATGGCTAGAGTTCTTGCTATAAAGTAATCTTTTCCACAGAGGTACCTGTGCTTTCTCCACTCTCTGTGTGAAGGCTTTTCTGTATGCAGTAGTCTCCGCCTAAGATCCCACCACTTACGATCCCGGTTCGCTTAAGATCCCACTGTTTAAGAAAACAAAATTAGACCTGCATGTTTGCCGACAATCGTCTGAAATCCGACAATCGCGACGCGACCTGCGAACCGGCCGATGCTGTCGCTAGGCCCACCTGTATCAGTCAATGTGTGTAGTGCGAGGCCTGGCCGACTGCCAGTGTCCCCCTTTTCTCCCGTCGGCACTTTCGTTTTCGTGCCGACCACCGACTGCCGATGTCGGCGTTTCCGACATAATTGTCGGAACCTGAGTAGAAATGCAAATACGAAAAAGGACGACGACGTAAATTATCTACTTTCAGATTCGTGCTCGAGCGGCCATTTTGAATTTAGTTTTGTTGACAAATTGAATTGTTCAGATCGTGTGGATTCATTCCAGTCCGACTCACTTAGATACTAAATCTAGATCTAGATCTAGATTTATATAGATTATTATAGACCTCAATGGAGGATTCATATTCCAATTCTATTTTGTCAAACCCTACCATAGGTTGTGCTGTAATTTTAATGTTGGTAAAAAGCATTTCATCAGGTGCGTGAATTATTTATTTATTTATTTATAATCTAGACTCAGCTGAGCCCCTCTGTTGGGAATAGGATGCGGATTTCTA